ACGTTGTTCACGCAGCCGTCCGGCCTCGGAGGCCAGACGACACTCTCGATCCAAGGTACGTACGACGCCACCCTGCGGGTCAGAACAACGTCACGAAAAACGTTAAAAGGAGTGAATAATAATTCGTCCTAAGCAGCAGTCAACCGTGGCCAAAATGATGGCTTTGAGAAAACTCAAATCCCTAAAACACTGATAGAGTAAGGGTGCAAATTTCGGGTCCGGACAATAAAACTCCAATAACGGGTGGACGCGGCAGACAAGTAGGCCAGCCCGCGAGGCGCTCGCGCTCGACGGGGGGCTGGGGCTCACCGCACGGAGCTGGCCACCAGGATAGGCCTGCCCTTACTAACCTCGTGTAGATGCCCGGCTTCCCCAGCCCGCAGGGTGGCCCAAACGAGACGACACCGACGATTCGATAAATGCACGTGATGTCGTTGCTAGGGTTCGCTCGCATCTGGAGCGGTCCGCCAGAGTCGCCCTAGACAATTCAAATAGAAAACAATAGTAAGAAGTGTTATGTCACATGCTGGTATGGTTCAGCTGCCTTCCCGGCCCGGCCCCTCACCTGGCAGGTGTCCCGGTTGTGCTCCCCGCCGCCCGCGCACAGCTGGGTGGCGTCCTCCAGGCCGCGGGGGACCTTCTGCATGTCCAGCTCCAGGTTGTCCCTGCAGTACTGCATGTCGCGCACGGTGAGGTTCACTTTCAGCAGCGACTGACTGCCATCGTCCTCTACAGACAATGTATAGAACGAAGCGTCTACAACAGGGACGCCTCTGGGCAAATCCATTTGGTCGACTAGGGCGGTTTCTCAGCTCCTTACCGAAGCTCGTGGCGCCCCATCCGGTTGCGACGGCGTCCCTCCCCGTGTTGTCCACATCCATGTCCGTGTCCAGGCAGGCCGGGTACACCTCCTGCTTCTTCATCCGGGCGGGTTGCGCGAGGCGCACGAGGGCGATGTCGTGGTACTTGACCGTCGCGACGTACTCGGGGTGCACGATGGCCTGTGCGACCTCTATCAGCTGGTGGGTGTCGGCGGCCTTGGGCTCCTGGCTGGTGCGGTTGGTCGCGCCGAGCAGCGCCCAGCGAACGTCATGGGAGCTCAGCGCCTGCGAGCCTCGGGATAGGCCACACCGCAGTGCTCGCGTGTATTGCGGGCGAGATGTTGCCTACCTATCAGGCGCCATGAGAGCTCGCACAAGCTGAACCATATACAGGCTGATGACGTAGAATGAGAGAGACGGACATACTTTCTGGATGAGCCCAACTAACCGCGTAGGTCTCGTTGTCGCAGAGACCGCCCGCGCACAGCAGGGAAGGTACGTAACCCTCCGGCATGGCGGCGCGCAGCCTGTCGTGCTTCAGCAGGGAGGCCGAGCAGCGCCCGGAGGAGCGCACGGCCAGGGTGTTGTTGGGCTTGTCCAAACTCATCTCCTCCCCTGCAGGTCGCGTTCAACAAAATGTGTGAGGCGGACGAGCTTATAAGAATGGGCATTTCGAGCTGCGAGGTCGACTTACAGGTGCCGACGGTGTTCCAGCCGGCCGCGGTGGCGCGCACCCCGACCCGGATCGGGAAGTCTGCCTCCGTATTGAGGCACAGTGGCAAGTAGTCCCGCAGGTCGTAGGACTCGTTCAACCTCACGACGGCCAGATCAGCGTAGGCGAGGCCCGGTCGGTACTCGGGGTGCACGATGACCTTCTCCACGGTCGCCAGACCACTGTTGTCGCACAGCTCCGGCGCCCCCAGGTACACGCGCTGCAGGGGTAGGCTGTGGACA